TCAGCAAAAAATAATGTCAAAACACCAACAACAAATTGGGAAGTCCTGTTTAAAAAATATTTTAAGGGGAACCTGGGTGGCTCAGTGGGTTAAGCCTCTGACTTTGGTTCAGGTCATGATCTCAGGATCCTGGGATGGAGCCCCACATCGGGCTGTCTGCTCAGCAGGGAGCCTGCTTCCTCTCTCTCTGCCTGCCTGCCTACTTGATCTCTCTCTCTCTCTGTCAAATAAATACATAAAATCTTTAAAAAAATATATTTTAAAATATTTTTTATTTTTATAAAATATATATGTATATATATGTACATATATATATGTGTACATATATATGTACATATATTTTATAAAAATAAAAAACAAAAAATACATATATATATATATTTAAGAGAGAGTGTGTGAGCTGGGGCAAGAGAGGGGTAGAGGGAGAGGGAGAAGGAGAGAAGCAAACTCACACTGAGCTCGGAGTCCGACATGGGGCTCGATCTTACAACACTGAGATCATGACCTGGGATGAAACCACGAGTTCAAGCCTAACCAACTGAGCCACATAGGTGCTCCAGAAAGCCTATTTTTATTTATTTATTTTTTTAATTTTATTTTTTATAAACATATATTTTTATCCCCAGGGGTACAGGTCTGTGAATCACCAGGTTTACACACTTCACAACACTCACCATAGCACATATCCTCCCCAATGTCCATAACCCCACCCCCCCAACCCCCCTCCCCCCATTAACCCTCAGGTTATTTTGTGAGATTAAGAGTCACTTATGGTTTGTCTCCCTCCCAATCCCATCTTGTTTCATTTACTCTTCTCCTACCCCCTTAACCCCCCATGTTGCATCTCCTCTCCCTCATATCAGGGAGATCATATGATAGTTGTCTTTCTCCGATTGACTCATTTTGCTAAGCATGATACCCTCTAGTTCCATCCACGTCGTCGCAAATGGCAAGATTTCATTTCTTTTGATGGCTGCATAGTATTCCATTGTGTATATATACCACATCTTCTTTATCCATTCGTCTGTTGATGGACATCTAGGTTCTTTCCATACTTTGGCTATTGTAGACATTGCTGCTATAAACATTCGGGTGCACGTGCCCCTTCGGATCACTACGTTTGTATCTTTAGGGTAAATACCCAGCAGTGCAATTGCTGGTCATAGGGTAGTTCTATTTTCAACATTTTGAGGAACCTCCATGCTGTTTTCCAGAGTGGTTGCACCAGCTTGCATTCCCACCAACAGTGTAGGAGGGTTCCCCTTTCTCCGCATCCTCGCCAGCATCTGTCATTTCCTGACTTGTTAATTTTAGCCATTCTGACTGGTGTGAGGTGATATCTCATTGTGGTTTTGATTTGTATTTCCCTGATGCCGAGTGATATGGAGCACTTTTTCATGTGTCTGTTGGCCATCTGGATGTCCTCTTTGCAGAAATGTCTGTTCATGTCTTCTGCCCATTTCTTGATTGGATTAGTTGTTCTTTGGGTGTTGAATTTGCTAAGTTCTTTATAGATTTTGGACACTAGCCCTTTATCTGATATGTCATTTGCAAATATCTTCTCCCATTCTGTCAGTTGTCTTTTGGTTTTGTTAACTGTTTCCTTTGCTGTGCAAAAGCTTTTGATCTTGATAAAATCCCAATAGTTCATTTTTGCCCTTGCTTCCCTTGCCTTTGGCGATGTTCCTAGGAAGATGTTGCTGTGGCTGAGGTCGAAGAGGTTGCTGCCTGTGTTCTCCTCAAGGATTTTGATGGATTCCTTTCTCACATCGAGGTCCTTCATCCATTTTGAGTCTATTTTCGTGTGTGGTGTAAGGAAATGATCCAATTTCATTTTTCTGCATGTGGCTGTCCAATTTTCCCAACACCATTTATTGAAGAGGCTGTCTTTGTTCCATTGGACATTCTTTCCTGCTTTGTCGAAGATTAGTTGACCATAGAGTTGAGGGTCTATTTCTGGGCTCTCTATTCTGTTCCATTGATCTATGTGTCTGTTTTTGTGCCAGTACCATGCTGTCTTGATGATGACAGCTTTGTAATAGAGCTTGAAGTCCAGAATTGTGATGCCACCAACTTTGGCTCAGAAAGCCCATTTTTAGAAAAAACATTTTTTTTTAAAGATTTTATTTATTTATTTGACAGAGAGAGATCACAAGTAGATGGAGAGGCAGGCAGAGAGAGAGAGAGAGAGAGAGAGGGAAGCAGGCACCCTGCTGAGCAGAGAGCCCGATGTGGGACTCGATCCCAGGACCCTGAGATCATGACCTGAGCCGAAGGCAGCGGCTTAATCCACTGAGCCACCCAGGCGCCCCTAGAAAAAACATTTTATACTAAGATTATTTCAAATTTACAGAAAAGTTCAACAGTAGTACAAAAATGTGTGCCTTAACTCAGATTCCCAGGTTAACAGTTTACACATTTGTTTATTCATTCATATATTGTAAGCATTTGAGAGTAAGACACAAACATGCTGTATCATTTACCCTTCGTACTTTTGTCCACATTTCCTAAAAACTGGGACATTCTTCCACATAACTGCAGGTCAACCATCAGCTAACACTGATATACTATTGTGTATGGATCATCTAATCCACATTCATGATTTGCCTATTGTTCCAATATATTTTTATAAGTTCAGCATCCAAATCAGAATAATACTTTTCATTTAGTTGTGACAGATCTTTGATCTCCTTCAATTTGAACCAATTCCTGAGACTTTCCTTGATTTTTCTGACCTTGACCCTTTTGAATATTACAGGTCAATTACTTTGTAGAATGTCTCTCACTGGGTTTGCCTGATATTTCTTTAAGATTAGGTTCAGGTCATGTATCTTTGGCAGAACTATTCTAGAAGTGATCTTGTGATCTCAGTGCATCATATCAGGAGACATGTGCTCTCTAGGGGTGCCTGGGTGACTCAGTCAGTTGAGCATCCAACTCTTGGTTTTAGCTCATGATCTCAGGGTCATGAGTTGGAGCCCCATGTAGGTCTCCACACTCAGCAGAGAGTCAGAGATTCTCCCTCTGTTCTTCTCTCCATTCGCACTCTCTCTCTCTCAAATAAATAAATAAATCTATCTTTTAAAAAAAAGGTGGCATGGGCTCTCAATTTGTCCCCTAGAAACTGATACAATTTAAAATTTTTAAAAAAGATTTTATTTACTTGAGAGAGAGCATGAGCAAGGAGGATGGGTAAAGGAAGGGGCAGAGGGGGAGGGAGAAGCAGACTCCCCACTGAGCAGATAGCCCCAGGTACTCCATCCCAGAACCCTGAGATCATGACCTGAGCGGAAGGCAGGTGCTTAACGACTGAGCCACCCAGGTGCCCCAAGAATGGCCTTTCTAATGGGTGCCTGGGTGTCTGAGTCAGTTAAGCATCTGCCTTCCGCTCAGGTCATCCTGGGGTCTCGGGATTGAGCCCCACATCAGGCTCCCTGCTCAAATATTCTTAATAGTAATTACATTAATTCTGAAAATTTTGTGAAATTACTTTTAGGAGAAATTTCTTTTAGGCCAATGTAATTATTGATCAATTATCTACATAGAATACCTTTTCTGTTTGCACTGTAATACGATGATTTCTGTTCGGATAAATTTTTTATGTAAATAAAAAAATATTTTTGTTCACATAAAATTTTAGTGATTATAGCTTCTGCCTTTGTATATTTTCTGATGTCTTATTTTCCCCTAGGTTACATTGATATATCTAAATTTTACCATGTAATGTTCTATTAGTAATACTCTGTATGCAATCTCTACACCTGATGTGGGGCTCAAGTGCAGGAAGGACCCCGAGATCAAGAGTGACATGCTCTCCTGACCCAGCCAGCCAGGCGCCCCTCTCTATGAATTGGATAAAAGATGGAACAGTGAATCCACAAGAAAATGGTGCCCAGTTATATTGCCATTGCTGTCCTTTTCTATTTGATTCCTTGTGTTCGTATCCATGGCTTTGGTGAAGTAAGGCTATGAAAGGTGAACGCCAAAATTCTTTTTTGAGGGGATCAAAACACTCTGAACACTTTGTTGGGGAATCAAACACTACATAACTGGGACGGTGTTTTGGAAGACGATGTTGGAATGTAGTAGCTTCATTAAGCAAATGGAGAAAATGTTCTCCACCAGTGAATTTGATGAGCACAGTCCACAGGCAAAAGACAAGTCACCACAGGAGAAGAGTCAGATACTTCCACCCTTTCATTGTCATCTGTTTTCCCTGCTGAATAAATACCTACAGACACCTCAGTAACATTTTCCCTATAGTTGGTGCAGTTTTTGCTGGACGGTGAAAATTCGTGAAAGGAATCAACATCCGCTTAATGATTGAAAAATTGCGTTAAGCAGCAATAATATACACTTGCAAGCACATTCTTTGGTCATCTGTGATGGATTATTATATGAATAAAATGTAAACATTTTACATGAACTGAGAACTTGGTAGCTCGTGCTGCTTGCACAGGTGTTGGAAAGGCGTGAGAACCAGCGCGAACCAACTCTGCAGGAGCAGAATCTGAATACCGTGTGAAGAGGGCACGCGCGGCGCCCGTGCGCGCTCGGACCCCGCGCCGGTCGCACCGCAAACAGTGCGATCAAGTGCTTGCGGCGCGTTCTCCACCACCGGGGGTCACCGAATACAGTCCGCGCGGCCGCCGACAGCCTCCAGCGGCGCGCCCCAATACCCCACCAAGACGCGCGTCTCGGACGCCTCTGCCCCTGTCCCTCCCGCCTCCCGGGTCCCGCACCCCGCGCCGACCCTTGCAGTCTCCGGGCCTCTCCATCCCCGACCTCGCGACCCTGCCTCTCGGATCCCGGGCCAGGCTCCGGCTCCTTGCTCTCCTCGCGGCGGGGCGGGGCGAGGGCGGGGTTTCCTGGCACTTAATGAGCGCCGCGAACGCGGCGATCCCGGGCTCGGAGGCCGGAAACGCCGCGGCGGAGCTGCACTGCAGCGTGGGACGCTGCCCTTCCTCGCAGTCCGCCGACGGCGCACAGCCAGCGCAGACATGGTCGAGTGAGGCCACGGAGACCCGCGCTGGATCGTGGAGGAGCGGGAGGACGGGACCAACGTGAACAAATGGCACTGGTGCGGCCGGGCGGGGGCCGGGGCCGGGGCTTTCGGGCCTCCTCCCTGCCAAGCGGCGGGCGGGACGGTGGGCCCCCTCTGCGAGCACCCGGGTTCCCGTGTCTGCGGGGTGCGGTGGCCCGGCCTCTCGGGCGCCTCCGGGGCTGCGGCGCTCCCTCTGTGGGGGCGGGGCCTGCGCAGGTGCGGAGGATTCCCTGCTCCAGCTGCTCAAAGAGCGGCGGTGATTAGCCTCAGCTGAGTCTGGAGGCGGGGGTGGGCGCTTATCTGCACTGGCTGTAGGATTTCAGTTTCCTCCTTTTCAAAGTTGTTCTGGGCCCCATGAATGGTATCTGCCTGGCCTCTTAAACTTTTCCGGTCTGTGACCTTAAGAATTCCCCTTCCCCCCACCCCTCTTGATGTTTTTGGAAATTAAAAGCTTGGGGGTGGGGTGGGGGGTGTTGGACTGTATGTAGTGGAAAGAACAGGAATTTGGATCTCAGCTGTACATCTAACATGATGGGCCTCTGGTGAGCCCTGCCTTCTTTCTAGGAGTTTGAACAGTTGCGCATCCTCTTTGTACGTCCTCTGGGACATGGGCTGATTTCTGCCTCCCTGGCTCCCGCAGGGTTTGGGGAAGTGATGCGGCATCACTGGGGCCTGGGGTACCTCAATGCCACCAAGCTGAGGTTGAGGCAGGTTCAGTGCAGAGCAAGACCGTCAGTCTGTGAGCGGGTTACTGAGGGAGCCCTGGCCTCTCCTTTCCCCGCATTGTCACCAGGAACATACCAGGGACTTGTCTCTTCTCATTTCCACTCGCTAAAATGGGAACATTTATTTGGGAGGATTGCATGAGATAATATATGCATTCGATGATTTCTTTTTTTTTTTTTAAAGATTTTATTTATTTATTTGACAGAGATTACAAGTAGGCAGAGAGGCAGTCAAAGAGAGGAGGAAGCAGGCTGCCTGCTGAGCAGAGAGCCCAATGTGGGGCTCAATCCCAGGACCCTGGGATCATGACCTGAGCCAAAGGCAGAGGCTTTAACCCACTGAGCCACCCAGGCGCCCCGATTTGTCTTGTTTTGATTAAAACTATTTCAGTCATTACCACCTTTTTGTACAGCCCAGGCTTTGCGCATCCATTTCCAGTGGGTGAGATTGCTAGGCTCCTCTTCCCCCAGAATAAGCCAGTGTTTTTAAGACAAAACACTACTTTACACAGTGGATAATAATATCTTAAGGAAGAGAGAAGGAATATTAAAAGATATTTGGTAGAAATCTGGTTTAACTTTGAGGGCAGCAGGGTTCTCAAGGCTGCCTGAGAGGGAATGGGCTGCCCTGGGCTGGTCCCAGACATTCTCCTGACTCCCCAGTCTGGACATGTGGCTACCAGCTGGGGCCTCCATTCACGGCTCTGCCCTTCTGGTCCCTGGCAGGACAGAGCGGGATGCCACCAGCCGGTCCAAGGGGAAGCTCTGTGACCTCCTGGTGGGTATCATCGTGGAGAATGAGGTGGCAGCAGTGAGATCTGTGAGCTGAAGCAAGTCGAAGGTGAGGCTTCTTGAAGCAGCCGCTGCAAAGGAAAGCTGATTTTCTTCTATGAGTGGAACATCAGGCTGAGCTGGAAAGGTAACGGGGCTAGGGGCTGGAGGCAGCCTTGGGGCCCTGTGGGCTCATGTATTATTCATGTATTCACTAGATATTTTTAGAACTCCTGATAAGGGCCTAGCACTCACTGGCCCCTGAATTTGGTGTGTGTAGTTTCAGATACCCTTTGGTCATGTAGAGTGCCTTGTCCAGCAAGCTGTTGCTTCCCTTTCTCCCAGCATTGTTTAGAGCTCTTTGATTTCAGCAGCACTCTTGTCTGCCAGGCACTTGTGAGCCCTAGACTTCTCTGGAGCTGCTGGAGCGCTCTTCCCGGAGACAGCTGCCAGCCGACTCTTCTGGGTCCTTGTCCTGAGTGAAACCACCTGTCTCTACTATAGAAATTGCAGGTCCCTTCTTTGAACTGTCTCCCTTCCTGCTTTATCTTCCCCCAGAGCACTGATATTTGGTATCTTTTTATGGTTACTTAAATATATTATTTTTCTGTTCTCCTCCTACCCCCATTCCTCAGGGCAGGGATTTTATCAGCTTTATTGGGATCTAATTCACATACCATACAGCTCACACATTTATTTATTTATTTATTTTTTATTATTTTTTAAAAGATTTTATTTATTTATTTGACAGAGATCACAAGTAGGCAGAGAGACAGGCAGAGAGAGAAGGAGGAAGCAGGCTCCCCTCTGAGCAGAGAGCCCGATGCGGGGCTCGATCCCAGGACCCTGGGATCATGACCTGAGCCAAAGGCAGAGGCTTTAACTCACTCAGCCACCCAGGCACCCCTAGCTCACACATTTAAAGTATACAGTTCAGTGGTTTACGGTACACTTATGGAGTTGTGTAGCTATCACTACAGTCAGTTTCAGAACATTTTCACCACTCACAGAAACCCTGTACCCATTAGCAGTCACTCCACACTCTTTGGCAAACACTAATCTGTTTTCTATTTCTATGGATGGATTCGCCTATTTCTATTCTCTATCTCTAAGGATGGATTTGCCTATTCTGGATGTTTCATATGAATGGAGTCATAGAGTATGTGGTCTTTTGTGACTCACTCCTTTTGTAAAAGTTTTAATTCTGGTGTAGTTAACACAAGTGTTAAATTAGTTTCAGGTGTACAATACCGTGATTCAACAATTCCATATATCACCCAGTTCTGATCATGATAAGAGTACTCTTTTTTTTTTTTTTTTTAAATTTTTTTTTTTTTTTTTTTTTTTTT